TATATATATTTTAATATACATATATAAATTAGATAATTTTAAATGTAGATGTAGATAGCTATCGATAGAACATGATGATACATAGATAGGTACAGTTAGAGATAGGTGCCAGACAGACAGAGACAATCATTGTGTGGAGGAGCAAATCCAGTCTGAGGTGGCTCATTTCCCTGCGGAGCAGCGATGGGACCCTCTGCAGCTGCCCCGGCCTCCGGCACGTCTCTGTGCTCCCCTGCCCCTTAGCTGTGGGTTAAGATGGACACGTGCAAATAGAGACATAGGAACCAATGTAACGTAAGTAGGAACATGGAAAAGCAGCACGTAAATCTATACATATAAATAGATATAAATGTAAACATATAGAGCTATAAATTACAAATACATGCATATATATAGATATATAAACACGTAGGATATAACCTTATAAATAAAACAGAAGCTCTTTTCTTTAATTTTGCCCTCCTCTCCTCTTCATCTCCCTTTCCCTTCCCTTCCTTTCTTTCTCTTCTCTTTTCCCTTCTTCACTTTTCCCTTTCCCTTTTCCCTCCCCTTCCCTCCCCTCCAGTCCTCTCCTCTTCACTTTTCTTTTCCCTCTTCTCTTCTCTTCACCCTTCTCTTCTCTTCTCTTCACTCTTCTCTTCTCTTCTCTCCTCTCCTCTTCTCTCTTCTCTTCTCTCTTCACTTTTCTCTTCTCTCTGTTCTCTTTTCTCTTCTCTCTCTTCTATTCTTCACTCTTCTCTCTTCACTTTTCTCTCTTCTCTTCTTTCTCTTCGCTTTCTTCTCTTCGCTTTTCTCCTCTTCTCTTCTCTCTTCACTTTTCTCTCTTCTCTCTTCTCTTCTCTCTTCACTTTTCTCTCTTTTCTTCTCTCTTTCACTTTTCTCTTCTCTTCTCTCCTCTTCTTCACTCTTCTCTCTTCACTTTTCTCTCTTTTCTTCTCTCTTCTCTCTTCACTTTTCTCTCTTCTCTTCTCTCTCTTCTCTCTTCACTTTTCTCTTCTCTTCTCTCCTCTTCTTCACTCTTCTCTTCTCTTTTCTCTCCTCTTCGCTTCACTTCTCTTTTCTCTTCTTTTTCTTCTCTCTCTTCTCCTTTCTCTTCTCTCCTCTCCTCTCTTCTTTCTCTCTCTTCTCTTCTTTTTTTCTCTTCTCTTCTTCTTTCTTTCGTTCTCCTCTTCCCTTCCCTTCCCTTCCCTTCCCCTTCCTTTCCCCTTTTCCCTTCTCTTCTCTCTCCTCCTCGCCTCTCCTCTCCCTGCTGGGAGCAAAGCCTGGAGCAAAGGGATGCTCAAACCCTCCCCTGAGGCCTTGGGAAATCTGCTTTGAGTCTCCAACTCTGTTACTGTTTTAATGAGCAGCTTTTGAGGACCTGGAGAAGATGATGGAGGGGAGGAGAGCCCCGGTCTGAGCTCTCCCAAGAGCCGCAGCTCCCACCATTGCCCCCCCCAAATTCAACTGAAAGAGTCACTGACTTTTATGTCCTCGGGGAGGGGAGACGCTCTCTCTGCTGGGGAGGGCTCAGCTGTAAAACACACCAGCAAAACGTGCCTGTCCTCATGCACCTGGTTGGGACAATAAGAGCTTGTTACAGCCAACGCTTATCAGCTGCAGCAGCAGGGGGGTAGGAGCCTGGCTGGTTTTCCTCGAGGATTTCTCTGGCATCATGGGGGCCAATTCCTTAAAATCTGAGGCATTTCAAACTAAATGGCCCCCTCAGTTGCACCATGGTTGCCATGAAGCCAAGAGCTGTGTAATTGGGTGGATATTCCCTAAGGCCCTTAAGAGAAGGCTCTGGGGAGACCTTAGAGCAGCTTCCAGTGCCTAAAGGGGCCTTGCCATGCTCACAGGAAAGAGCTTCTGCCTCAGAGCTCATCTCAGTCTCCCCTCTGGCAGGTTCAAGCCATTCCCCTTGTCCTGTCCCTCCATCCCTTGTCCAAAGCCCCTCTCCAGGTCTCCTGGAGCCCCTTTAGGCCCTGGAGCTGCTCTAAGGTGTCCCCTTCAGGACCCTTCTCTTCTGCAGCTGCCCCAGCCCAGCTCTCTCAGCCTGGCTCCAGAGCAGAGCTGCTCCAGCCCTCGCAGCAGCTCCGGGGCCTCACTGTGCAGCCCAGCTCAAGGTGGAGATAATGTGCTTTGTTACCATCAGGCAGAACTAAACAAATCCAGACTGAGACTCATTGAAGATTTGGGCATCTTCTTCCTACCCACAGAAAAAAACGCCTCTGTCTGAACTAACCCGAGGCTGGACCCCAGAAACCTGTGATGGTGTCAGTGGTTTCATGGTTCTTTTTATTAAAAGCAGATTTCCACAGAGAATTAATGAAATACAAAATTATATAGTAGAAAAGTAAATGAACAGCTCCCAAACGCAGCCATCGCAGCATCCTGAACAAAACTAACATAGAGCAGGGATTATGCTCATCACCACTCCCAGCAGGAGCCTCCCATTCTTGTTGTGGAAAACCACCCTGCTTTGTTTGGCAAGGAAAGCAACCCATGAAGTATTTAAAGTAAGTCACCACTTTTCTCATTTGACGAACCCACCAATGCTACAAGTGACAAACTATGGCCACCTACTCTTAGATTTGACTGTGCTGCGTCCTCTGGGAGGCTCCAGCTGGAGCAAGGCCATGAGGAACACACAGGGGCTGTGGGCCTCCGAGTGTGTTCTCAGGAAACCATGTTAATCAACACAGGACAGAAGCCCAAGGGGGTAGAATTCCTCCAAGCAACACGTCAGACGTGCCTCAGAGTGGATCTGCTGTGGAGCTCTGTGCTGGAACACAGCAGGGCCCTCTGCAGCCTTTGCCCAGCAGCAGCACAGGGAACGCACCCGTCAGGTGCCACAAAGAAAGGAGCCTTTTACAGGCACCCGGCCATGGGTTACACGGGGAAGGAAACGAGACCTTCAGTCTTTAGCATCTCCCACTCCATCAGCATTAATAGCAAACATGGCTTCAGCCTCAGGAAGACAAGGGGAGTCGTAGATTTTACATATCCTGGTTTCACCTCGGCCTTTCCGCAGATAGAGCCTGGGGGAGAAGGAGACAAAGCAGGTGAGGATGTACAGCCTCCGCTGGGCAGCTCCTTATCAGAGTCATCAGAACATGATGTTAGCACATGGACAGAGCACACTACAGAGCTGCAAGAGCCAAGGACAAGTCTCCTTCTGCAGGTTAATGAGGGCTCGGTGGCAGTTGTCAAGAAACAAGCTGGGCTGGCCACTGACAGGCTATGCTGAAACCGGGATTTAGAGGTCCATGGGTAGGCTCATAGAGTCTTCCCAAACAAAGCTAATGGAAGATGATCATCTGTTCTCTCACCTGGTGGTGGAAGCGTGTGCTATGATATTCCCTCCAATAGGTTTTTTGGGATCTGCAGCAAACATGGCAGCTCCATCTACTTGTGCTACCACTTGGTTGGTGATCACAACTGCCACTCCAAACTGCGAGGAGAGAAGCCACACATGAAATCAACTGATTTTCTACACTCTGAACAGGAGACATAAATATCCCCAAAACCCCCACCACATACTGCTGTCTATGCCCACTCTGTCGAGCCTCTCTAGACAAAGTAGAAGCAGACACTGAGCGTGAGCAGTGCTGGCTCCTTCTCTTGGACCACAACAACCCCAGGCAATGCTCCAGGAAGGGGAAGAGTGGCTGGAAACTGCTCATGGAAAAGGACTTGGGGGTGCAGAGTGGTGGAGCTGAACGTGAGCAGCTTGTGCCCAGGCAGCCAAGAAGCCACCAGC